AATTTATTTACATTTAACATTTATAATTTTTCTCTAATTCGTTACTTTTTGCTTCATTCTTGTTGGTTCTGTCAGACTTCAACCCAGTATAAGTGGTTCTGAAGAAGCCCCTCCTCCTCCCCTCTCCTCTGCTGAGGCTGACCTGCTGCTCACGTCTTTGTTTTATTTTTCATTCGTCCTGAACCTTTTTGCTGGTCAACAAATAACTTTGAGCCTCAGTCAGAAAAAACTGGAGGGTTTTTATACGTTTGGCCTGAGAGGTGGAGGAAACAAACGGTGGATTTGGCTGCCCCCCACCCCCCACCCCCCGCACGCATTTCCTTCTCACGACGTGGCGCTCAGCAAATCAGACGTCTTTTAAAAAAAAAAATGTAGCATTCACTTTTTATCATATCTTCGGACCTACTTGGCCTAACAACAGAATTTAAAAACTGGTTTAAAGTTCGAAGTCTCTGCTTTGCACCCGAGAGTCAGAAAGGGCGGATCTTTACAGGTAGAGTTTTTTTCTTCCTAAACTTTATTTAGGTCAGCCAGCATTGACAACGGTCTGCGGGTGACACGGCGAGGGACGCATAAATCGCGCGACCCAATGTATCGACAATGAAATTCGTTGCCAACGCTTTTAATAATAGATTTTTATCGATTTTATCGATTCATTGTTGCAGCCCTAACCCTGACCACGCACTGCTGAACGGTGCAGTAACATGAAAACACAACAAGGCTTGTGAAAATAGCTGAAACTTCTTCACATCACATAAACCAAGTCCTACACACTGTGGAAGCCTAAGTCTATAAATGTATCTATTGGAACCAACTCCATTTGTCTATTAGCAAGATTATTAACCACTGACAAATTGTTATTTAAAGGACTGCGGCTCAGTGGTTAGGGCAATCATCTTCCAATGAGAGAGTTGGTGGTTTGATTCCCCATTATTCAGCTGGATGTCAAAGTGTTTTTGGGCAAGACAGACACTGCCTCTGATGTGTGTCCCATCAGTGTTTGAAAGTGATTTAAAGTGATTAGTTTCTATAGAATCATTTCTACAGATTAGCTTTGTAGAGAGATATAGAGTGCTGTGTGAGAGGGTAAATGAGGGCTCAGAGTGTAAAGCTTTGATTATCCTGGTTGGATAGAAAGGTATATAAATACAGTCCATTTACCGTTTAAATTTAAAGTACCTGTGACATGCATATCAAATACAAAAAGTCAAAGAAAACATCTTCATATTAAAGAAACAGCATAAAAACATGATTTATCCATTTTGTCACATAACTAGATTATTTTCCTTTCAATGTGATTCAACAAAAGTGAAACAAGAAGTGACATCAAAGGGGAACTCTTTAAGAAAAGGAAGGCCATGGTCTTTATTAACTGAAACAATATACTTGAACTTTGACTTCATCTCTCTCTGATGGTGACTCAAAACATGTAAAGAAACATCAGATCACTCTCTACAGCCTGTGTTAGCCATATCAACGCTCTGTTCACATTCAGACAATCCCCTTTGACATCACTGCCTGTTTCTACACATGCAAATATCTCAACAACTGTTCATCTCAGCAGCATGAAATTCTTTTTGCAATTTGTTATCAATTTTGTCTTCACAAAAATGCATTCATATTATTACAAATATTGATGTCACAGGCACTTAATTTTGACCAAAATAGCTCATCATCAGATGATCTTACTATAAAACTCTGCATCAAAGGCATCCATTGATATGCCTTTCTTCATAAATTTAAGACTTTTATTTATTTATCAATTATTTATTTGCCATTATTTAGGGTTTAAGACTAATGCCTCCTACTCAAAAAGTGTTTGGCTCTTACTTTAACCAGGTACTGGTACTGTTGAGTGTTCCTCTCCAGGCCGAGGTGTCTCAGCAGATCCTCCTCTCCTCCTTCAATCATCTGATAGAAGATGTGAAAGTTCCTCTCTCCGTGGTTCTGATGGACCACACGGGACTTCTCCAGAAGGTAGTTGATGATGTGGCCTCCCACGGGGGCACCCTGTTGGCAAAGGCCAGGGATGGAGGGGGAAAGAGGAGAATGTGGAGGAGGAGACGGTAAGGCTGGGGTACTGCAACGTGATGTGGGGGTAAATAAAACATGTAGCTTCTACAGGGATTGTTTGTGTCTATATATATATATA